TTTGCAGTTTCAATAAAGTAGTTTCAGCAAAGTGGTATTTTCTGTAGAAGCAAAATAACATTGCTACCTCTAAAACATTTTCCACTGTAACAGCTAAAAAAAAAACAGCAAAGAATTTTCTCCTGGGACTTTTCTCAGTGTGTCCCACGGTGGATGGCGTATTTTAGACGTTTATGGAGAACTAAAAAGCGGATCATTTTGAAAATTTGGCAACCGGGATAAATGACCGTGATCTACACTTTAAAAATATTTTTGTTTATGCGGTGTTGCCGCTTCTACTCTAAACCAGTGGCAACATCGCTATTTTAAATGAAACACCCCGTATTAATTGCATATTTGGATTCTACATAAAATTCTGAACAGATTTCATGTGATATACCTTATACCTAAGTTCAACTGTTTTGGAAATATTGACAGTTGAAAATTGACTTTTTGCAACTTTGACAGGCTGTAAAACCTGAACGGTTAATTTTAGAGAAAAACCGATTTTACATTCCCATCTTAGATTTTTATAAACTATCATTTGACACCAATTTTGAATTTAATCCATGATTAAAAATTCCAATTAAATTTAATCTCCGGTTAAATTCAAAGTTGGAGTCAAATGATAGTTTACGAAAATCTAAGATAGGAATGTAAGATCGGTTTTCCTCTGAAATTAACCGTTTAGGTTTTACAGCCTGTCAAAGTTGCAAAAAGTCAATTTTCAACTGTCAATATTTCCAAAACAGTTGAACTTGGGTATAGGGTATATCGCATTAAATCTGCTCAGAATTTTACGTAGAATCCAAATATGCAATCACATACAGGGTGTTTCATTTAAAATAGCGATGTTGCCACTGGTTTAGAGTAGAAGCGGCAACACCGCATAAACAAAAATATTTTTAAAGTGTAGATTATGGTCGTTTATCCCGGTTGCCAAATTTTCAAAATGATCCGCTTTTTAGTTCTCTATAAACGTCTAATACGCCATCCACCGTGGGACACCCTGTATATGTACATATGTAATAAATAATTTTACTGAAAACTCTTTACGGAAATAGGTTCGGGAAAGTCGAATTCGACTATCTAAGTCATCTGATCCGAAGTGCGGTGTAAGACAAGGTTGCATTGTATCATTTGTATCACCCATACTTTTTATTATAGATACATATATGGCGAGTATATATTGTATAGGTTGGCGAGGAGGACTAACGATACTAGTAAAAAAGATAACGAACCTCAGATATATTCACGAGTCACGACACATTAATTCTAGCGTGCTCAGAAGAAAAACTCATCCAAATAATGAGAAAGTTGAACAGGATCAGCAGAGAACATGGTCTTATGTTGAACGACAAGAAGACGCAAGTTATGATAGTAGACTGCAATCCTACTAATAACAGACAGATTGGTAGCTTTGAGGTGGTTGAAAAATTTAATAACTTGGGATTACTCATAACTAAACAAAGAAGGATGTGACGATGAAATAAAACGCAGACTGTGACGTAATTCGACAACAAAATTAACTCGAATATGGAAAGATACTGCAATATACCAAAGCAACAAGTTAAAACTACTGAGCACCTTTATCTTTTCCATTGCCACATATGCCTCTGAGACTGAAACTTGGACTTTTAAAACTAGCAACCGCAGAAAAATAGATGTGGGTCTACAGAATAATGCCCCGAATTTCGTACACAGAACATCGTACCAACGTATCAATTCTTAAGCAGCTAAAAGTCATTTTCAACCAAAATAAACCATCAGTCATAATACCTGAGGTATAGTTTGGACACATTTCAAAAAGAGCAGACGGATTAAATAAACTTATCAGTAGTAAACGACCAAGATAAAAGTTTCCGACGCGCTAGGTGAATCAAACCCAAGAAATTATTGGCCATAGGACAGTTTTGAGGGAGAGCCACAAATCGAGTAATTGAGACATGATGTCACCATATTCTCTCGAAACTCAGCGTTCAGGAAGGACAAGATCGAAATCACGCTAATTCATTATGATCGACTGAAACTATCTAAGCATAGTTACTTCAATCTTTAAATCTGGTGATCCGGATCTTGTTAGTAACTACCCTCCCCCATTAGCGTAATTAATAATTTCTCAAAGGTTTTCGAAAGATGTCTTAAATCCAGACTTTCTCAGGAAAAATAAAATGCCATCTGAAAACCAATTTGGTTTTTTTGAAGGTCAAAATATAACTGACGCGATTATTCAACTGACAAAAAATGTTAATTGTCTGGATACTGGAGTTAACTGCTTGGCTGTTTTCCTGGATCTTGCTAAGGCATTTGATACGGTGCCACACTCAAAACTTCTAAATGTCTTAAACTCATATGGGATACGTGGGATCGCCCTCAGCCTATTTTCGAGTTACTTGAATGATAGGGATCAAACAGACAAGATCGGTGAAACCTTAAGTGATCCGGTTAAAGTTTGTATCGGAGTTCCATAGGGAACTGTCCTGGGTCCTCTTCTGTTCATTTGCTATACATATAAATTCCCTAACGAACCTAAAAATAAACAATCTAACTATTATATCATATGCTGACGACACGGTTATCCTCTTTAGGATGTTCATGGCATGATGTTAAAACATCAGCCGAAGAAGGGCTTACAAGGGTTATTTGCTGGCTACAGAAATCCAAACTGACTCTAAACATTGACAAAACAAACTATATGGCTTTTTCACTTACCTCTGTAAATCGACCACATTTTACCAGCATAAATTTGGTGAGGTTGAGGCCACCAAGTACTTGGGCATCACTATTGATAGGCACCTCAGATGGGACAAACTTGGTGCACGACTTACCCTCAATATTCGAAGACTTATTTCTAGGTTTTATTTTTTAAAACATATCCTAGGCCAGAATGTGTTATTGATGGTTTACAAAGCGATGATAGAGTCGCTAATAAGGTATGACATTCCCATATGGGGTGGTCTGTACAACAACGCTATAAGACAATTAAACGTGGTCCAAAATTATATCCCTAAGGTTGTTTATGGAAAGAACAGAAGGTATTCTACAGCCCTTTCATATTCTAAAGATGTTCCTAACGTAAGAACACTATACCTATATCTATTCTCTGTGAATGAACGTCTATGCTAAAACATCCTCTATAGAAAAAATTGATCGCTCCTACAGTATCAGAAATAACCAAAATGGGCATCTCATAATACCAAATAGCAACTCCAATCTAAATTACTAGCTCCTAAGTTCTACAATCTGTTACCTATAAATATTAGAATTGAACCTACGTAAGAAGAATGTCTTCAAATGAAAATGCCTAAACTATATATTTCAAAATTTGAACTTATTTTTGGTCTTCTTGTAAGGTACTCGTATTAATTTCAACTATTGACAACATTGGTGTTTTTTCTGCGTATACATTTCAAAATAAATCCACTCTTATTTTTGCTTTGTGTAAATTATGAATAGAATCTATTGGTGAGTTACGGCTAATTATACTATAGTATGTTTTTCTCTATGCTATCTGCACATACAGATATTTTTGTCTGGGTGCAGAATAATTACAATACTATGTGAAAGTGAGTAAAGGTGGTAGGACAGTTCAGCAGCAAACCCCATGTAAATCTCCATTAGAAAACGCTAAAGTCCAAATTGCGGCTTTTTCGACCATTTTCAGGTAGCCCCACCCACTATCCCGCTATCTCCAAAACATCTCAACAACACCTCAAAGACAACTCCAAGACATCTCAACAACATCTGTGAGACAACTCCAAGACAACAACATCTCCAAGACATCTCAACAACACCTCAAAGACATCGCAACATCACCTCAAAGACAACTCCAATATATCTCAAAGACAATTTCAAGACATCTTAACAACAACACCAATAATTTTCTCGCTAAGCTTCAAAATTTCTTTAACATACTCACCTACACCAACCATTGTTGTTGTTGTTGTTGTTGTTGAGATGTCTTGAAGTTGTCTTTGAGATGTCTTTGAGTTGTCTTTGAGGTGTTGTTGAGATGTCTTTGAGGTGTTGTTGAGATGTCTTGGAGATGTTGTTGTTGTCTTGGAGATGTTGTAGTTGTCTTACAGATGTTGTTTAGATGTCTTGGAGTTGTCTTTGAGGTGTTGTTGAGATGTTTTGGAGATAGAGGGATAGTGGTTGGGGTTACCTGGAAATGGTCGAAAAAGCCGCAATTTGGACCTTAGCGTCTTTTTATGGAGATTTACATGGGGTTTGCTGTTGAAGTGCCCTAGCACCTTTACTAAAGTGAAGTAATTTTCATTATAGTCTATAAGTGCAATGTATTGTAAATTAACCAATTCCAATAATATAATAATAATAATAACTTACCAAGTAGAAAGATAGTATAAAGTCGACAGTCATCGAAGATTGAGAGTAGACAATACATTAGTGGTCATTTAACGGTACAAAGTTGAATTTGTACCTGAGAATCAAATATTGTCCGTGAAAAATTTGAAAAGTGAAGAAATAGCGAAAAGTATAGGTAATCAGTTGACGATCCCGAATCAAGAAGTTTAATAGAATTTTATAAAATGGATAATAATAAATATGTGCGTGTAATCAGAAGGTTTTTTTTATTATACTAGTTTAGTGAAAATAAGGAAAAAATTTAAGTACATGTAGGTAATTAGGACTGAAGTATTTAACCGTTTACTGCAATGACTATATTGGTAGAGTCAGGTTCTGTTGATGTTTGATATTAAAATGAGAAAATAGATTTTATTTCACTGTGAGGATAGCGCATAAAGAGAGGTGGCTTTAAAAGTTAGAACATTTGGAATCTTAGATTAAGTGTTTTTAGAAAGACTTTAAAAAAATTTTATAATAAAAGTTTATCTATGAAAACCTTACTGCAGTTGTTTCTCTCATTTGCGAGAATTTTGAAAAATTTCACAAGAAAAATACAACAAATATTACGGCGTCGGCGCTTCAAGCAACAGCAAAACATAAAATGTCTTTTGCTAACTTTCAAAAGACCGCAAAAGTTTAGTTCGCTTTCATCCGCGTTTGCGTTGCCATCATCTCCAAATAAAATGTTAAAATTTGGGATAATGAACGGACTCGTACGAACCCCAACTGTAAGTATTGTAATAATTGCTTGAGATGTATAATAATTGAAAAAATTATAATTTTATTCATGTTTTTTCCCTCAAACGCACTTTAGTTTGAAGTAAAATTTTTCTATTATTTGAAACCTTTACATGACTAAAATAGATTTTCTTTTAATGACACACAATCTTTTGTCAGATGGATAAAAGTTATCCTCGAAAAAACCATTTTTTTTTAAGTGGTCTCATTTAAAAATCCACTATACGAAGGCCAAAGTTATAATAATACCTATATCCGTCCTTTTAGTACAGCGGCAATGGGTTTTAATCTTGGCGCTTTATATTAAATTCATGAATGCCTTTTTTTCTCTAAACATAAAAGCCAAGGTAATCTCTCGCCGAGATGGTTTTGAATGGAAAACCACTTTTTAGCATTTCCACATAATATCAAAGACAAAAATAAAGGAAACGTTTGACAAGACTTTAATCTAAAACTTGCGAAGCAAATAAATGGAAAGTTTAAGCGAAACCGCGACACCTGCGGATTTCCTACAAGAGCAACCAGATTAATTTCGGAATGAAGTTCGTGCAGAGCAGATAAACATAAAGTTTTGGTGATTTAAATACTTCGTAGTTTTCCTCGGCTTTGCTGAATTTTTTGAAACCCAACAATTGAGAAGATTGAGAAAAACGAGAATGTCACAGTCTTACAAGTTATGGAATCTCTTTGGAAAAACCTTCTTTTTCAAATACTCATACAATTTTTTTATCTGCTTTCCCTTTTTATTCATAAAATTTTATTGTATTATGACGGAATATATAAATTGAAATAAGTATTTCCTTTACGAATCAACAAGTATTTACTTGTTGAAAATCGATACATTTGCACATTTAATTAAAATTTCTTGCCAGGAAAATTTACGTCAACCAATTTATTTAAAGAAAAATAACTTAAATTCCTGAAGCCAAACATAAATCAAGAATGTAAAAAAGAAAGTTTTTAAAAAACACGCCGCCGTTCGGAGGAGTTCTTTTAAAAGAGTCCCATACACTTTGATAAAACGGAAAAACGAGGTCAAGAATTTATCGGTGCGGTTGTTTGCTTTAAAAATTTACTTTGAGGCTTTTTGAATACAATGATTAATAGTTCAAAAGTCGAATGCTATTTTTCTTGGACGACAATGTATATCAACTTTGTCCCTCCTAAATAAAATGTTGCATTTTTATTTCTTCCATAAAAATATCAGACCGGAAACCTATAAAAACGGTTGCGTTTCTAATTTATTTGATGGAGTTTTTTTTTTTTTGCAGGCATCACCATGAACAACCATAAATTGTTACTATGGACGCTTATGTTTTGGCTGCGCTATTATTAATAACAATTAATGCTTCAAAAGCCACTTTGAACAACACAAAATCGAATAAAAGGACTTCGGCGTTTATTAATGGCAACTTTATTATCGGAGCTTTATTTCCAGTACATCATCAACCATCGTCCAAGAAAAATTATCTTGCAAGCTTAGGTAAGCACTGCATTATTCGTAAGTATTAAAGTCCCCGATGCATTATTTAAATAAATGTGTATCGTAAATTGTGTGCTCGGTTGCATTTTATGAGCCCCAGAAGTCAGTTTGCTCTAGAGCTTTCGTAAATAAAATAACAAGGCACCGACATGCAAATATTTTCCGTTTCCGATGTTCTCAAATCAGAGATTTATATTTGATATTTTGCACAAAAAGGACACGGACTTTCGAGAGGTTTTATTGGACCCAATTTTTTAAACTTTCAGGAATATATTTTAATCGAAACACATCTGCATGTGGTACTACAACGAAAACTGGATACTGGTTTGCCATGATTTTCAACCAAAATGACAGAATATTTGTGGGTTTAAAAAGTATAATTTTAATGAAAAAAATATTGCTTCTTTCCTCAAGTTTTAAACATTTCCAATAATTAATATTTGAAAAACTTTTTTCAATCATTGACTGATTTGAATCAGATGCATCCTATAAAAATGTATTTATTAAACTGAAAAAGATCAAATCTAATAACTTCCTGAATATAATTTTAATTTTTAGTAGTATGACACACAGGTGAGTGAAATTTAATTTAGAATTATAATTAAAATTAATTAAAATCCAATTTAGATTATTTGCACTGAATAGGTATAGGCGAGCAGTATACATCAACATATTTACTTAAATTGATCCCTGGAAGCGTTTTATTGTTACAGAGAAATTGCTTTTCATTAAATAATTCTAGAATGGTTGTCGATTTACTAAAAATAATTCTATTGCTGAAAATTGATATTTTTGTTATGGAATTTGAATCTGTTTTACATTACCCAGAGCTTTAATTAACAAATAGTTTCCAATTCACAGATTTTTCGGAATTTATATTAATCAAACAACATTGTATTTATTTAAAATAAACATCGTATATTTTTTAGTAACAGTAACATTTTCCACTCTACAATTCCTTCATCATAATTCTTTGCTGAAATGGTACCATAGTAAGTACTACAACTTCATTCAGTAAAACTCTTTCCAGACATCAAATGCGGCGAAATTCGCGAACTTTACGGCATCCAAAGAGTAGAAGTCACGCTGCAAACCATTGACGAAATCAACAACAATCCAGATTTGTTACCCAATGTTACTCTGGGTGTTGAAATAAGAGACGAGTGCTGGTACGCACCTGTAGCTTTACAGCAGAGCATCGAGCTGATACGAGACTCGATTACTCCCGTTTCCAATACGAAATTTTGCTCGACAATGGAAGAGGACGTTGGACAAAGTAATGGAGAGAACAAAGGGCCGCTGATTGGGGTTGTAGGGCCTGGTGCCAGTTCAGTGGCATTGCAAGTTCAGAATTTGTTGCAGTTGTTTCATATACCACATGTGAGTATACCTAATTTCTGACTACATGATTATTTGGTGTGTGTATCTTGTAAATTGTGTGGCATATACTAATCAATTTCAATAATGTCTTATCTGTTCCAGATGGGATATTCAACAACGTCACGTGATTTATCAGACAAAAGTCGTTTCAACTATTTCCTAAGAGTAGTACCTTCGGATTATTATCAAGCTCAAGTGATGTTGGATATTTTGCGTTATTTCGGATGGTCGTACGTGTCGGCTGTAAATACAGACGGTGAGCGAAATAGTCTAAAAATAAAATCCCGTTTTATCGTTGTTCGGATAGGTACAATAAAAAGGAAAACTTCTGCGAATTCGAAAGAGAAGATTTTTGCATTTACCGGAGTTTCGTTAGGCACTTGAGTTAGTTTCCGTACGGAAATTAAAAACCTCGCTTTTCTAGGTTTAAAAAGACTACTCTGGTTTTATTCAGAGAAAAGTTACGGGCAGGATATTGGGACAAATATTGAGTTTTAGAAATTTTAATTTTTTTATACGAGAGATCTAGAAGTAAAAATGTAGAATGAACTTGTTCAAATTTCTTTTTACTGTTATTCTCTTTCAAAAAAAAAAATCTAAGGTAAATTTATGATTAGAGACTGAGTCTATTTCTGCAAAAAGGCCTTTCCAATAAAGATGCCATAATGCCATAATGCCATTAAAGAGTTTATCTATATTCTAGAGCACTCTTGAGACTGACAATGGCCCCGCTGGCAAAATACATTCTAATAGAAATGAAATTTTAATTTGTGACGAGATTGTAGAAACGTCGTCATATGAGCTACATTTTCTCAACTAATTTATTGTTGATTGAGTATCTTGTATGTTCATAGCTCAATTATCTAAGTAGACAACTTTCTATTTATAACCAAAAGAATATCTTTATTTTATCCTAGACCTACATAGCAAGGGCTTTGAATGTAAAATTTATTATAGCAATTTAAAGATTACATATTGTTTTCCCCAAAATACAATGATCCAAGTAATATATTGATGCAGTCTTTGTTTGGGCAAGTTTCTAATTTAACTTTTAAACAATTTTATAATAATAATTTTGCTAGCATTTTATTGTCCTTGAACCAAGCTGTTTCCTTTTTATTCAAGTACTTATACAGTTTCTCCTTTTACACAGAGAATTACGGACAATCCGGAATGCAAGCTTTCAGAGAGTTGGCTGAAGAAGCTGAAGTTTGCATAGCCAGAGAGGATTCCGTGCTAAGTAACGCCGCCGATGAGGTTTTTGATAAAGTCATTCTGAACTTGAAACAAGACCCTAACGCCGTTGTCGTGGTTTGTTTTTGCGAAGGACTCACGATCCGCGGCTTATTGAAAGCCACGAAAAGATTAAATATGACGAATTATTTCTTGTTTATTGGCAGGTAAGTTATTTGTGTTACATTGGGATTTTCAAAAAAAAATCTCTTCTATTGTAAAATTCAAGGCTCTGCGCATACAATAAGTAACCTCAATAATAAAACATTGTTGTAAATACTTATAATATTTGACACAAATAGGATCTGATATACATTTTATATTTCATTTGTTGATGAGTAATTCCTTTGACTTATTAATTTCGCATTCTAATTAAACGACCCCAATTAGCTACATTTCCATCACCTACATACATGGGTTATGTTTGTTCAAGTGCGCACACAACGATAAGGGCTTTTGTGAGCCTCGTGTGAACACTAGGGACGTTTATGAAAACGAATTTAGTTATGTAAGGATTAATATTTGTTTAAAATAATAGAGTTCAAAGTCAATTTCTGCACCGAGTAAAGCGAATTTAGTTTCAACTCAAGCGTTTAACCTATACAATATTATCTCTGAGTCTATGAAGGCTGCAAGCTCTAGAGTAATATATTATAATATGCAAGCGAATAAAATCTGACAAACACAAATTCTAATTAACGTGTAGCTATTTTTAATTAAAATTTAATAAGCCACACGTCACATAAATTATCCTAAACTTTCTCTTGCGAGTACTCGAAAAAATGTTCTTTTAATTATAGGTAGGTAAATTAATGATTATCAAAAAGGCTTGTGAAGTAATTTACATATGGATTTCATTATACGAAAGTAAATATTGCACACTCTCTACACAATTTATGATACATATTTGGTAATTATTATTTAAAATACCGTAATATAAATGAGAAATCATATGTGCAATATTTCCATGCTTGGTTGATTGGTTTACGACGGGGTCTTTGTAAGCTTTCCTAAAGGAACAATTTTCATTTGGGGAAGTTAGCTATAATTTTGTGAGGAATGTTATAGACAGCTTGAAAAATAAAAAAAGTGGGGATATATATGGTCTCAATGTACAGCTTATCAAGAACATAAAAAAATATTATCTTGGTACCATTGACAAAGATGATAAATACATTTCCCAAGTCACTCAAGAGGGCTGTAATTACTCCGATTTTTGAAAAAGGCGATAGGAATGACATTTCTAACTATCATCCCATCTCCTTGTTGCCAATTTTGTCGAAGGTGATTGAAGGGTGCATGGCATGCAGGATTACTGACTTCTTTGAGAGCAATAGCTTGTTTACTGATAGCCAGTTTCGGTTCAGAGGAGGAACGGGCACAGTTCTTGCAGTCCTCAATCTTCTCTCGAACATAATGGATGCTTTTGAGAAACGTGAACACCTCTTAGCACATTTCTATGACCTGAGCAAGGCTTTTGACTGTGTCTCGTGTGATGTCCTACTGAAGAAATTAAAGTTCTACAATTTCTCAGAGGGCGCCATACAACTACTGGACTCGTATCTGAGTGAACGCCGAATGGTAAGGGTGGGGGAGTGTCGTCTTCTGAGGGTTTCTTAAGGGTAGGTGTACCACAGGGCTCCGTTTTAGGACCTATTCTTTTCCTCATCTTTATAAATGACCTACGAATGAGTGAACTAGCCAGATACATACTTTTTGCAGATGACACTACTCTCACTAGAAGTTCAGTTAACTGTTTTGTTGTACACTTGGTTTAGAGTTTTTATATTTTTCTTTATACTTTATTATTGAAAGACTTACTTTGTTACGGGATTAATTTTCTCCCTAAAATAAAGGTACCTCCATCTACCAATCGAGTCAGTAAGGTTCATAAACACTCACGCAGTTTTCAGGATTTTCTTTTCACAGTACCACCTAACAATAATTGTGCTTATTTATTTAAACATTTGACTATAAATAATAACAGTTCCCTGCTTTGGTCCAATTACAGATTTCTGCTTTCCCTTCCTCGAGGTACCATGGTACCCAACCTAAAATTGTGACACTTAAAAATTCCCTATTTGGACACCCATGCTTCCGGAAGGGATAGGTTTTTTTGGTAAAAAGAGGGCAGCTTTTTGAAGAGCACGTTGTGAGCTTCCTCTCTTAGCGCTTTTGCTGATTTTACCATAAGTTTTGAGTCCCTAATTGGATCCCCTTTGTGAGTTGCTGAGATTAAAGCATCACAGTGCCACTAGGCAGATTTTTGGTCCAATTTTAAGGGTTTAAACCTCAAACTTAACCGTTTTCCTTTGTGTGCTGTATCTGGAAAAGGTCAAAGTATTTTGGCCTTTTTGTTTTTCCTCTTATTCTTTTCGTGTTACACTGCTACTGTTGTCTTCACCCTTCATCAAATGCTTGGCATCTCCTTCGACAATCTTAAGTACTGATTGCCCACCAACCACCTCAGAACTCAAGAGGACCTAAATCTCCCCATTACCTGCCAACCAGAAAGATTTTGAAGGTTTCCAGACCTCACTCCAAGTCAGAAGTCATCCTGGTCTCTGTAAGACTGGTAACCAACACGTATTTGAGGATTCAATCTGTAAGTCAGTCTGATCACTTGTGTGTGTTGTCCTGGGTCCTGAAATTATATGGTTACACTCCAGCTGAGATAAAGAGTGACGTTCTGTAGCCAAAATATAAACTTACGTCAGTTTCGCGACGTAGCACTGTTCAGCGAAGCAAGGGCTAAGAAATTCCATAGCTGGATAGAGGCCTATAATAACCTTTAAGAAATTTGTTGTTTTATTTTTGCCTATTACAATTATTACCTGATTTATCCATCCTTGTATAACTTTGCACTTTAAGTACACTACTTTACGCCTAATTTAACATCGGGATAACTGTACACCGGAAAAATAGGCCTATTTCGAGGGTAAACGACTATTGATTTGTACATTGATTTTTGCGATCTTTAATGACTAAAATAAGGTTATAAATTTTTAATAAAATGGTAGGTATAGTATGGTTTTAAGGCAATAGAATAGGTAGTATTTTTAATAATTTACTGATGAATATTGCACCTTTTTTTGGTATATTGTATACTTTGCATTTTTGGAAGAAAGTATATAAACCATATCAGAGAATATTTGATTTCGATTATTTTCATTTCTTGTCCCTTTTACAGCTGACTTTGACTGCATTTGCGAATCGACGAGTCCTCGCATGCTAATAGGTGATTTCACTTATTGATGCCCTGCTTTTTGTTCTCCTTGCTTTCCTGTGTTGATTTAATTACTTTGTATGTTCTAGGCTGTTTCCTGTTTTATTATTTTTCGCATTCAGGAACCAATTTACTTTAGGGCTGAAAACCCTTCTTCAACTCTTTCTTCTTTTCTTCTTTCTCCCCCTTTTGCAATAATCGCTCACGCAACAAATAGGCAATCTCATCACTCTTCATGTAAAAACTTTTTTAGTGGCTTTTTAATTATTCACTGTGTTCTCATGATAAGTCGTTTGACTAACTAGTTGCCATTCTCTTAACTACTATCTAGCATTGAAGACATATATGAACTCATGACCTTTTTGACATTCCAAAAATTTTAAGTTATATAAAGATTAATAAATCAATACAAATAACAAAATCAGCCAAATAGTTTGGAGTTTTAACTATACACGACGTGATTTACGAGCCTTTTTTAAATTATGAGTTTCAGCAAAATCGAGATTGTCACTGTCACAACTGGAGTTATCATCGTCACTACTATCACTTCGACGTCCACTTCAGTCCACTTAAATTCACACTATCGCTTAAAAAGACATATTCTATGTAATTCTTTTGATGTTCTGTCAGGTACTTACCTTCCTCCATTTTCCGAGTCAGATTCATTGGAACTAATATTTGTTAGAATATCTTTCTGCGTCATCAATAACTGTTTTTCAAAATCGGAAACACTAACACAATCTGTCTCAAAAATTAGCTCAACAGGAGAACTATAATCTACTACTGTGTTATCAAAATTTGTAGGCTCATTTAAAAATATTAATTATAATTAAAAATTAAAATCAGATATTTCATACAATAAATCATCGAACATATTATTAAAAATGTACACAGGTTAATTAGTCTTATTGATAAATTTCCTGTTTCTTCTTAATTCTTTTCCTTTTTCATCTTCAATAAGATAAGATCTATCATTATATCTGCTTATTATTTTTCCTCTATTCCAAGAATTTCAATGTTGAAAAACGGATTTTTTTTTACCTGCCCTGTACAAGTTTCAAAAAAATTGGCAACCTACTAGAAAAAACTTAAGAACAAGAGAAATCGAATGGCAAAAACCGCAGGTAGCTAGCACACCTGGTTTAAAAGTTATAACCATTTAAAATGGTTCACTTTTGGCTGGGACACCCTGTATATATTCACATTTGGAATACTATTACCAAAAATTCCAATGTTTTTTCTTTGAAAAATTTCCGGTGTACTACTTGAGCCAAACGGAACTCTATGAAATTTGTATCTCTCAAATGGAGTGTTAAATGTACCTACATAAATCTGAACTTTTATCTGATAATTATTGTATCTGCCAAAATCCATCCTTCATGTCTATTACTGAAAAAATTGTTTTTCCTGCTAAATTAGCTATAATATCGTCACATTTAGGAATAATATAATGTTCTCGGCATATATATTTGTTTAGTGCTTAAGGATTCAAACATAGACGAAGTGATCCATTAGACTTTTGGACAATCATCAATGAGTTCACCCATACGTTATCAGTAGAAAATCTCTGAACTTACCCCAAAAAATTTGGGATTGGCCCGGGTCAAACCCCCGAAACTTCAGATCAAATGCGCCGCCGATCTAGATATTTTCCCACGGTATTTAAAAAGTTCCCAGGCTCAGGTGCCCCCGTTACAATACTTGAAGGAGTGTTGAAAGGAACTAACCCAAATGATCCACGCCAATACGTTATCAGTAGAAAATCTCTAAACTAACCCCAAAAAATTTGGGATTAGCCCGGGTCAAACCCCCGAAACTTCAGATCAAATGCGCCGCCGATCTAGAGATTTTCCCACGGTATTTAAAAAGTTCCCAGGCTCAGGTGCCCCCGTTACAATACTTGAAGGAGTTTTGAAAGGAACTAACCCAAATGATCGACGC